TTCAGTGATATACACTGCTCGCCAACAGCCATGGAACCACCCCAATTTCCGGAAAATGATATTAGGAGTCAAAATAGGTCGAAAATCACTGTAATCATGTAAGATATCAAGCTACATGACTATGGTCATGACTATGGTCATGTAGCTTGATATCTTAACATGGAAGAATTTCGATTTTTTCCAAACAAACCATTTTTGTCAGATATACAGGATGTTTCAAAAAAACCCAACCCCCTTTCTAGGGTAGGTAGAACACTGCAAAATAAGTTGGGTTTACTCAGTAAAAAAATTTCGTAACTGCATCCGTTATCAAGATACAAGGTGTTGAAAAAATGATTTTTTTTACACACTTTTCAAGATTATGTCGAAACTACTGGCAACATTGTAATGAAATTTTGTATGGATGTTTCTTGGAATCTGACACATCGCATGCATTTGTTTTTATACCTGACTCCCATAGAGGGCACTAGTTACACGGTTCGTACCGAGTAGTTTTGAACATAACTTTTTTGAGGTTAGATTTTTCAATCCAAATTTGATGTGAACTTGAACATCATTCAATTTCACACCAAAAAGGTACTCTTGGTGAAACTCGATACTGTGTTCCGTTTTCGGAAAATGATGAAGTGATATCTGTTGCTGGTATAAAGCTATGTATTAGAGTGAGTATTATGAAAGATTATCACCTAATTATTGAAAACTGAAATCAACGATACATTTGTGATGCTGAACTCATTAATTTAACAATGAATCACAAGAATAACATCGAAACAGATTTGACTGAGAACATGGATTACACAGTTTTGTTGTATCTTGAGCAAAAAGTCTATGCAACATAAATAAATTCACGTCAAGAGTTGTAAGAAATAATTGAACATCACTTTAATGACCTAACAGCAGATCCTCAACTGTTAAGAAGGATAATACATACTTTTGAAAATAATATAGAATCGTTTTTTCTTCGACACGTAGGACATTTTGAACATTTACTCTAACTGATTCAATATTAAATGTTTCAAGTCAAATATCTCTTAATTTTATACTCATGATTCTTTGTTTCATCAATAACTTCAGCACAAGAATACTTTTATTTTCTTTGAATCTGAATAAATAGGTAATTGAACTCAATAAAATTCATTTTATACCAGAAACAGCATGCCCAATATTTTGATCACTTAACAAAGTTAAAATATGGATCAAATTCTTAGAGGAAGAAACGCAATTTGTCTCCCCAAGATGAGGAGTTTCAAGAAAACGACACATTTTCGAAAGGTTCATCGAGGAAAAAATACGCTTCATCATCAGGGATACACTTCTTTTTCAACCACGCAAACTTCCCTTCCATTAGCCGAATTGATCTTCACTATATTCCAGAGTTGCCTCTTTGATGTATTTCGAGGTTTTAAACTGATGTTTTATTATTTATCTTTTGATATGTTGCCATCACGCAGAAGAGCAACGGGAAAAGGAATGTCTGTCTGTTAGTAGTTATAGCTACAGCTACAGCTATGGCGCTACTTTAACATCGTCGACATCATTTAAAATGCCCGAAACATTTTATGGTTGGAACCATTAAAAAAGTTCATTCCGAAGTGAACCGCAAGAGAATATACACGCTGGATGAACGTGCTTCGTGTGTATATGGTTTCTGATTGGATTTCGGGGAGCTTTTAGAGACCGTTCTGTGAACGTAAAATTCCCGGGTCGAAGCTAGGACAAGTTTTTATCTGTCAGACGACAAAAATAATTGGTTTAGTCCCAGGTATTCGATACTGTGGTACGTTTTCAAGGAACATAGTCTTAAATACTGTCTGTAGGTTAATCGAGGAGGTGGTACATTCATTATACCAAACTTTTTGGGATTTTCTCTCCTCGCTCTATAAAATAAGAATATGAATATTATTTCAATATACGTGTAGTAAGGACAAATCAGATGATTCGCCCCAAAATGTCACTGCGTTTAAAGAATTTTCCTATCTGAGAGCCTAAAAGAAAAAATTCACCAGCTTATCATTGACAATTTGTATTCAAAACATTTTGGAGAAAAGAAATAAAGGTATATAGAGAAAATATCAAATTTTCACTTATTTTTGGACGTTTCGGGACCGATTCTGCCCCCGTTTTCAACATGAAAACACATTATTTCAATAGCGAAGTCGTATAATATGTCTTGAAGCTTTTCAGTTTTCAATGACAATTGGTGACGTTGGCTATCAAATGAGTTACAGGATGTTTCCATTAATTAATCTTGAATTTACCATTTTCATGTTCAGATTCAAGTAGTGAATACCATGTTCTGTCTATATCAACTGAACAAGAAGCAAATGCTATTGTCTCCGTTCAAAAGAATGCAAGCATATTCCTTGATTTTTCTCTTCTGGTTGTTATCTTCTTTTCCGATGATTTAAATATTATTCCACTCTGCCATATGTTGTCCGTCTTCAGTAAGGATATGTTCAGCTAGTTTCGAATTATCGATGTTTCTTTTCTTTATATTGTACTTATGTTCCTTCGTCCTTACTGAAAGAGGTCTGTTGGTTTCACCTGTATAAAACTTCCCACAAACACAAGGTATACTAAAATCTGAACATGAGAATGGTAAATTCAAGATTAATTAATGAAAACATCCTGTAGCTCATTTGATTGCCAACGTCATCAATTGTCATTGAAAACTGAAATGCTTCAAGACATATTATACGACTTCGCTATTGAAACAATCTCTTTTCATGTTGAACACGTATATTGAAATGATATTCATATTTTTATTTTATAGAAACGAGGAGAGAAAATCCCAAAAAGTTTGGAATAGTGAACATAGTCTTGAATTACACAAGTACACTGTGTCCCATTTTGGTTGAGACTGCACTGTATCTCAGCTATTATTGAAGATAGAGACATGCGGATTTCGCGACCCTGTATCACTTTTTTGATAAACTCTCGAAGCCACAAACAGAAATATTTCGACTACTTTTGTTCCTGAACTACAGGGCGAAAACGGACATGTTCACTTTTGGAGATGTTATTATTTCTGAGGCCCTGTATGAGATGATAAAACAATGAGAACTGCTTATGATATATATTTTCACATGGAAGTCAGTGGCGTATTCTGAATTTGTTTTAGAGCACTGTTTTCAAGATTGGGCACAATCTTGGTATTATTTGAATGGAACACCCTGTATATTTTAACGCCAATTTCTTGCATTTTGTTTTCTGAATACACTGATATATCACAACCTGATCTTCAATTTATTTCATCTAAGAAAATCAGAATAATCCATATTTGTGTTTGTTTCTTCAATAGTAGGCCGTGAATTTTTCACACATGCATTTATTTATTACTTTTTGAAAACGCCATGTGATTTGAACCTATTTGTTTGATTATATTCTGATTATAAACTCAAAATATCACTCCTCAACATAAACTGAAACTGAAAACAATAAAAATATATCGGTACAGACTTAACATTAAAAACTGTAATTACGAGAATCAAATTAGAAAATTAATTGCAAAAACAAAAAACATATGGATCTAATAAAACTACTACTCGGGCTACTATGGTTCATCGATTGAAGGGCTTATTGTGAAACAATGACATGTCTCAGAAAGGTGAACATGAGATATTTGACTTTTGATGTTTGAAATAATATATAAAATCTAGTGAGAACTTGAATGATTTCAGTTTTATATAGGTCAATGCTTCATGTGTTTTTTCCATTTCCTTAGTCATTTTCCTACAACGAAATGCAATAATATAACAAGCCACTTGACAAGCCACTACAATAATAGTTTTTTTTCTGTGACGGAAAAAAAGTTTGGCATTTCATCTCTGTTGGCAGGTTATAAAATGTCACTTTTCATAAATTACTTTTTTCCCGTGGGGAGAAAGTGAGTACTTTCTTCCCAGATATATATCACATATGTTGATGGCTTTTGTTGTGCTATAGTTCCGAAAAATGAGTCAATAATACAGTCTCCGAGAAAGAACTGCAAGTCCTTTTATCTTCCATTCGACTTCGCGGTTACGTATATTACTAAACAACAACTAAATTTGCAACTTTTTGAAATCAAATCACAGAATTAGACTGGCAGAAGATATTTGATTACTTCAAAAGAATGATAAAGATGCCTATACAACGCAGGTGTCCCTACTGTTAAAAACAAAAAATTTCACGTCGATTATTTTCAGATTTCAAAATAATTCAATATCTTCCCAATATTGATCCGTCCTTTCTTTTGTCACAGAAAAAAGTGTATTATACACGAGAAAAATATTAGATTTAAGCTCACGGTTTTTTAACTCCCTCCGCTACGCGTCGACAACACAACCTGGAGCTAAAATCTACTACTATTTTCCCTTGTATAATGAATTACTAATTATGCTTCATTTTAGAAGGATAATGATGTGACAAGCCACATTTGGGAAAGAAATACATACTGCTGATGTATTTTCATCACTTATTGATTGTTCAAAGTTAGTGTCATGGTCACTCTCAATGAATGTCGGCTCAATTTCACTGTTTTTCTTGCTAGAATCGTCAGAATCCACAGCATTATCGGAACAGCTTCCGCTCGTGTCGGCCATTTCGTGTGGCTTGTCATTATGTCGGGCAGTAACTAGAGAAAAAAATAGAACCATGCAATAGTGAGACTATAGTTTTTTCGCGTCATTCATTAACGAAGGTCTGTAATAATTTTGTAGAGGCTTGTTATACTATTGCTCCAACCGAGAAGAGCGTTAACTCAGTTTGGACTCTTGTGTGGCTTGTCATTGTTTCACAATAAGCCTTTCAATTATTGTTCGAGTAACTGACCGACCAGCTATTGCTACAACCGTCAAGTATTTCGTAAAAGAAACATACAGCACTTGCTGTTTTAGATATAAAGACGGGGTGGAAGAAAATGATCAAGCGTTTCCATTTTGAACTTCATTTATTGATCTTTATCGTCGGCCTAATATGTCACTCGATATCGAAACGAATTTACAACAGGGTGGATCGAATTAGCAAACCACCAGACTGGCCCAGTTGCAAGTTTTAGCTATACTGTCGAAATACAATCCTTCACCGCATGTTTTTAGTGCTGCTACAAGATTACTTCCATCATTATAGCAATGGTAGAACTTATTGCAATTCTTCGAATCTCTGAAATAACCAGGTCCTGTACAAGGAGTGGAAGCATCAGCGGAACTAGAACCAGCGGCGCTGCTGTCATTGGAACCAGAAGATGCGTCACTGTTGATGGGAACAGTGTTGGGTGAGTTGGAGTTGTTGCTAGAAGAGCTGCTATTCGGGTCATCAGCAGCAGCAGCAGGAGCATTAGCAGCAGCAGAGGAGTTAGTTATTGAAGCTTCTCCACTGTTAGAGGTAGCCTGAAAACACAGTATCTATCAGCTGTTGAACGAAATTGTACAGAGCTTCCGTAAAGTACTGCAGAACATCATTTCTAGCCATACTATCCATTCCATTGACACATTTATATGAAGAAATCGAATATACATGGTGATCCACGTTTGAATAATGACGGCCGCAACAAAATTTTCGAATGGAACAACCTATGAATCATTCAATTTTTGGAATCTCTATGGAAATCTGATGGATTTACAATGTATCACACATAGGGTTTGTATACAGTGTGCCCTGATTGCTCACGTAAAGTAGTGGATGGATTGATTTTCATCCATACTATCAATTTCTGGGAAGAGCAGGATGATTTTTCGTTTCAATTTGCCACATTTATGAGGAAGAATTGAATATACAGGATTATCTACTCTGAGTTATGACGTCAGAGAAAATTTTTTCAATAGAACACTATATATATCATTCTACCGTTGTGATATCATTGGAAAGCTGACATACATGGTTTGTTCACCGCAGTGCTTTCGTTGAATTGAAAGCTTTAGTGAAATGGTGGATGCATTCTTTGAAAATTGAAAGAAGAATTTTTGTAAGGAACGCTCAAAGCCGCAGAATTTTATGTCCATTCATACACTCTTCCAAATTCAATCAATATACATACAGAGGATACACTACACTGTTTTACCACTAACAAAACCGATTTTCGAACGCCTCGACACGTGTTCCGCTAACTATGTTAGCATCTTCAGGAGAAGATTAAAACTCAGTTTTAATCTTGATAAATATTAGTCGAAATTGAAACTGATTTGTTTCAAATGGTCTGAATTTGAGTTGGCTTTTAGAGCTCTGTACAATATAAATTGGGAAATTTATAAATAGATCATTCAAAAACTATAAGTAACATTTCAAAACGAGAAGTTTGGGCATATTTTCCACAGAATAGACGTCGCTACGATTTCCAAAACTAGTCAACAAATACCTAAGGAGTGACGTCATTCAGCTGTGATTTACTCACGTCAATTATATGTCATTTTGGAAAATATAAGAGACTTATTTTGGTCGAATGTGGTGCCATCTTTCAAACGACATATAGTCGCCATGTGCATCATGTAGGAATCTCGTGATTCTACTGAAAAATCCGAACATCGTATTGTTATGGAACAGCTAACCGCCTGCCGTTAAACAATCTTAACGGACGGAGGCTGATAACCTCAACTTTTCGATTTTTATCTCAACACCGTTTATTCAGAATAACAGTATGGGATTTGGAAAAGGAAATATTGTGCTCCGGATGATACTCACCAAGGCAGCGTTTATTGCTGAGAGAAGAGGAAAAGCAGTTCCAGAAGCACCACGGAAATCATCTGTTTCTATGGACCATACCATGACTCCTGATAAACTCATAGATTTCGCGTACTCCACCTATCAAACATTGATATTATGTCAAATTTGCTATCAAAAACCTTCTATGTAATATAATATAGTTAGCCATATTTCTATTCATCAAGAGCAAAAGATTCATATGAATTAAATCATATAGTTCTGGAACAACAATGAGTTGTTGTTCTGGTACATAAATTCATGAATAATGCAGACAATTTCACACCTTATATTTTTAACCAATTAAAAGCCTGTATTTTGTATCGTTACGATAGCAAATGAACAGATCTTTGGAAATATTTTTCTCTCACTATGGTAATTTTTTGACGTTCATAGGTAGAATGACATTTATATTTAACTTCAGATTATGTCGGATTCATTCTATGAGTTGATAAGTTTCTTGTCAGGAGATATACATATTTTTATATACCAACTTTAGCTGAATTTGTGAAAAACTAAGAGATTGAGAAACTTTAATTACTTGTTTAAATATTAATTATCAACCTGAACATATAACGTGAGCGAATTCCAATGTCAAAAAATATATTTCTACCAACTTTCTAGTACAATGTATTTGTGAGAAACTAAGGAATTGAGCAACTATTGACTCATTTCTTAGTATTTTGTGTAACTAAAGTAAGTTGATTGTGTCTTATTCAACCTCAGAATATTATGGATATGGATTATATTATTACTGCATATTATCGAGTTCCTCGAAACAAAAAATATTTCCACCATCTTTAGTGAAATAAAGTTAGTCAATTCAAGAATAGTAGTTCAAACTACCACCAGCTGCCTTATTGATATTTTACGTAACTAAAGTCGGTATTCTGGATTTTATTTAGCGTTATTATCCTAGTATATTTTTTAATTTTGGTGTGGAATTTTCTTAGCAAATACCACTTTAGCTTCAATTAAAAACCTGAAATTTTTTCTTGAACACGAATATTCAGAAAACCTTCCCGAGTCGAGACGAGTGAATTTCTGGTTATAATTGAAGCATTCGTGGTGTTATGAGTGGAAGAAAGCCATTTTGAGGAAGAGTTGATTAGCTGAACATTGGCACACTGCTTTTTGTTTCATTTTCGAAAGTCTAATAATATCGAAATATCGGAACAACTTACTTTCAGAGTAACGGATTGAGGATCATCGTAACCAACCCATTGGTTGTCTTTGTACATGTGTGGTACTTTCTGTTCATCATCCCATACTATCGTCCATCCCCCAGCCAACTGTTTCTCCACAATCTGTAACACGAACATTATATGGATTCCCTTTCGTGCGCTCGAAGAGATAAAAAGTGAACAGCAAAATTGTTTATTTGGAACAAGCAAAACATGTATGAGGGGGAAACGCAGTCTTTGGGAACTGCCGATAGAAGAAAACTGAGTTACTTGTGAATTTTTTCGTCGAGCTATCAGATTTTTATTTTTCAATAATTTTCGGTTCGTAAAGAAGTATTTTTCCACCTCTGATATGATTAAATTAATTTTGTTGTTTTTTATTCATTTGGAAATTCATATTGAAAACCAGAAGGAAGAATATAAAAATTGAAGAAACTTTATAACTTCAAAACTCTCGTGATTTTTCCTTAATTTTCTTCTTGCTGTGATGTACAATCAGCAGGATTGACTGCATCTTTTGACCATTAGACTCTTTTTCATTCATGGATGTCTGTATTGTGATATGCTGCTTTCATGCAATCTATTTTGCTGAATGACATGTCAGGCTTATCATATAGGACACGGAAAAAAGAAATCGTTGAATCAAGCGAAATATAATCGAATGTAGTGAATAGTAGTGTCATATCCGTCACCACAGCATAATTCTACGGGTTAACCATAAGGTATGATCTCAAAGACCACGCTCAGTTTTGCCCCTAGCCCATTTTCTTCTCTCCTGAGACTTTACAAGTAAGGGATTCACCCCTAACGTAACCTTTCTTCTTCAATTGCATTAGCTCGTTCGTCCCAGCACTGGTATAGTCCATCAAAAGTCAGTTGGAACACCTTGACAATTTTTTTTTTATGTTCTGGTTCCCACGAAAGGGGAAATCCTGTAATATTCAGAGAACATCGTGAGAACCAAGGGAAACAAGGTAGGAATTGGCGTTCTTCTTAAATTTCTGGAGGTTATATGCCTCGGGGAACTCCTTCCTTGGCAATGTGTTCCAGAACCTCGCTATTGGTTTGATGACCGAGTCTTTGGGAAAAGATGTTGTGCAGGTCTCCGAAGTGACCAGGAAGAGGTGCGAAGCCTCAACTCGACGGGTTAATCTCGCGGGGACTGCCAATTGTTGTTATCACAGAAGAGCATCGTCCAAGGAGATATCTAAAAAATAGAGCCAGATCGCCAACTTTTCTACGGTGTTACAGAGAAGTGAGTGAAGTTGTGAGCGAGGCATCACCCGCGAGAGGCATTGCCGTTTTTTGGACAGAATCCATCAGTTTCCGGGTATGTTTGGATGCTGCACCCAAAATATGGAAACAGTATTCCAGGACAGGTCGGATCTGTGCCTTGAAGATCATAAGCAGCTGACTGAAAGTGAAATAGCTCCTGGCCGGAAACAAAAAAGTTTTTGGGATGCACTTTCAGCTATTGAACTCACGTGATTTTCCCAAGAAAGGTTATTGCTGATAGTGATACGAAGCATAGAAATGGATGTCTTCAAAGGTATGGTTACTCCTGAAAAGCTCATGTTGTGCACAGTGAAATCGGCTTTTCTATTTATGTTGTCAACATTTCTTCCTCGTTCGTTTCTGATTTACCTGGCTGGTATTGGAGCACTGGAAGCGAAGGCGGTATGGAGGGTACTATCATCCGCGAAGCTGTGTACTAGACATACAGTTGCTTCCAACAAATCGTTGACATGGAGTAGAGATAGTGTTGGTGCTAGAATTGATCCTTGCGGAACACCAGCATTTATGATAAGAGAGTCAGATGAAACTCCGTCGACCACTACATGGAGGGACCTGTTCGAGAGAAAACTAGCTAGCAGAGAACATAGCTGGGGAGGCAAGTCATAATGAGGAAGTTTGACAGGGAGTCCGTGGTGCCAGGCTCGATCGAATGCCTTGGAGATATCAAGTGCCAGGTTCGCGAAGTGGTTTCGCTCCTTTCGAAGTTCGTTTGGAGTCCATGCACGGGGCAGACATTCACAGATTGGGGTTTCCCAAATTAAAATGCTTTTCACACCCTGTATGATGAACATCATTCCATTGTACAACTGACCATTGTCGAAATATAATCTAGATGACAACCTAGTTAGGTAGTTAGTAGGCAGAGCTATCCTCGCGTACTAGGTCGCCTACTAGGTTTTCATTCAGATTGACAATGAACTGACTAACGCTCCAACTGCATTTGAATAGACTATACCAAACTTTCCATAAGTCGAAACTTGTGCGGTGTTGAGTGAGCAAACGAACACATTATACATTGATTACCTAACTGAGATTCTAACCCATTTGATAGATTAATTTCATTCGTTGAACCAGTCCTTTACATTCAAGTTCAAAGTAACTCACCTCGTTATAGCCAAGCATTCCCGCTTCAGCAGTATACGGTCCGGAAGAACCAGCACCAATACTGGCGGCTCCTATGGCAACGTTGGTAGTACTGGCAAGGGTGTAAGTTCTGCCGTAAAAGGGTATGCCAAGGACGAGCTTTTGAGGATCAGCACCTTTGGCAATCCAACTCTCGACGATAGATTTCTGTAACAAAAAGCAATCGACCTTCGAATATGAAACAAACAGAAATTGCGGCAAAGGTGACCGAATTTGCTAGATGATTTCAATAAATATTATCTATCATTATTAACTGGGAAAGAACACCGGGTGTATCTTAGAAACCATTTGCCGCACAGCTGAAAGAAATAAGTTGAAAGTAGCCAAGAGAAATCCAAGAGGAATCTCTGAAATTCATTTTCCAGTTTTCAGGACTGCCTCTAGCTGACGTGATTGCATTGGCCAGTTGAAAAATCGAGTTTCAATTAGAATTTGACCTAGAAAAACATATCAAAAACACTTAGTATTTCATAATCCCCCAGTCCCAGTCCCCCAGTTGATACTATAATTTGGTTCAACGGAATTCGACAAACTTGGTCTCATCATCGAGTGTTTTTTCAGTTTGTTCAGATTCGTCAGCAAATTTGTGAGAAAGTCATCAATATGAGTAGATTCTTCGGTTGGACCTTACCCAAGCCCATCCAATAAACTTTCTTCAGATTTCTTTCAGCATTTCCTTTTATAATAGGTCTGATTTTTTTCTCGAGTTCAGCTCATCCAGTAAATTTTTACTAAATCCAATGAACCGATTGAACTCTCCAATTTCTGTCAATTGGAATGCAGCCTGCCTATGTATTTAGTGTTCATATCAAAGGGTTTCAAGTTTCAGTATCAAGGCGGAAGCTATCAAAATCGAGTAGGCAGTCATGAAAACAATGAAAATCTACAGGATGACCCTTGAGAAATGTACAAGGCACAAGGCATATTGAAGGCGGGAAAAGAACTTTTTGACAACATCCGAGAACACGTCAAGTTTTGTTTGTCAAGAGGATAACATTTGATGTAGAAAGCATAACAAAGAGCTTTAAGCCCCCTTGGTGGGGTTGACACCACCAAGAATTTTTCAAATGGAAATGGTGGTCATGTAATAGCTCAATCAATGAGGCTCTCAATTTTGTTGAACTCACTGCTGCTTAATCTTGAAACTATTTCTACTCGTTTGGAAAAAATATGGATTGAGAAGTCACCATATTATTCAAGAGGCCTTCGCTGTTTCTGCTGCTTCTTCAGGCACATTCTCGTGGGTAAATAGTAGTTGCTAGATAGCTATCTTGTAACTTGTAGTTAAAGTGTTCCAACATTGTTGAATCTTCTATGGAAAATTCAATCAATAGTTGATTTTTTGTCAAAGGGATTGTTGGTATTATTCTGAACTCCATATTATCTTAACAAGCGAATCAATTTTTAAAACTCAAGCAGCAATGTATAGGAAATGGAAAGTATTCTTTTTAGTTTTCAATAAGGTATCAATTCATCTCAATCCACGTTTTGGAAAATTTGGGAAATGATATCTCCACTCAGGGGGTTGGAGGTTTTGCCATGCATGTTCCACGTCGACAGTTTCCCCCTTGACTAACAAGCTCGACGTGTTTCTGGATTTTGTCGAGAAGTTATCTTCCACCTTGTAATGGCTTGCAGTACTTTTTGGATAGGCCACCCTGTATATATCGTTTCCTTACCAGATTCAGTAGTTTGGAAGCTGCAGAAGTGTCGACTGAAGATGCATACAATGGTGCATTGTGACCAAGTACTCCATCCCAAGAAGCGTGCAAATCATATGCCATAACGTTGATGAAGTCTAAGTACCTTTGAAAAATATAAAATTGAGTAAAAGCATATGACAATTTTGGATGCATAATTTTCTCTGTTAACTTAAAGGGGAATCAATTCAAACAAATCACGACGGAAGTTTGAAAATTGAGTATAAATTGTAGTAAATCAGCATTCATGTTAATGTCAAAAAAATCAAGATATAATGAGTACAAATTTCTAATTGCATGTAATAATGAAGTCATCAAAGATTCAAATGATATCAAATTTCTTTGCCTGTACATAGATCAAAATTTGTCATAATCAAAACATATTAAAATACTTAGAATAAAAATATCTCCAATAATAGGTATACTTTCTAGGGTACGGAATCAAGTTCCTATAAAATGTCTCAAATCTATATACTTCTCTTTGATCTATTCTGAACTTGAATATATGATTTCTGTATGGGGTTCAACAAAACTATCAAATACGATGCCTCCCAAAACTCTTCGAAATGAAATTATCATATGTATATACAGACTGAATTATTTGGAACCTACTATGAACCTTTACAGAAGAAGAGAGTTAAATATATATATTTATATCGTTAATTTATTCAGTTGAACATTGTCGAAAGCATTCAAATTTGGTTTTCCAAATTGAAAGTAATCACCAAAACCATACAACTAGACAAGCAGATCATTCTTCTGTCAAGAAATAACTTGAAGCTGATTGATAGGATTGAAAGATTCAAAAAGAAATTCAAGAAACACCTACTCCTGTAATATTGACATCTTATCTCATTTTTATAGTTTTCTTGTACAACTACTATAGTTTTTTATTGGGTACCTAAGAGCTGAGTCAATTAAGAATCATTTTCAGTTGAGCTTGAAGATTGTATTATCAGGATCAAAAGTGACACTTTGTTTGACAAGCGAATTTTGCATTTGCGAGGCGGAGCGTTTAGCGAAGCCGAGCGAAAGCAAAATTTGCGAGTCGAACAAAGTCACTTTCGATCCGAATGAAACATGCTATTTTTTCTGCAACCGAAACAATTAACTCAAATAAACATGTGAAGTAACCACCAATGCCGTGCCATAGTATGCAATGCAACAAATATTGACAAATAATCCGTGTGGTGAGAATATTCTACCTGCATTAACAGCAGGTTAGGTTTTCAAGGATGTTCGAATTGCAGTTTCAATATAAATACAACCACAGAGTGACATATTTGTGTATGGACCAGGTGCTCTAATGGCAAATACCGCGTCAGTGCCAGCTATAGGAACAAGACGTGGAAAATGTTAAGTTAGTGAGCATATATCAACAATGATGATGGTGATTATTTATTCCTCTCCATACTACACTGTGTTTGACTTGATAATCAAATAAATCTTAACAATATCGTTGTTTGAGACAAAAAAACTATTGCTTGCCGTGAATATTCAAAAACAAGTTATCCATCCCGAGAATAACGAATGAAATACAGATCGAGCAAGTATTTGAATCTTGAAGGCTTCCCTGATCAAAACAAAAATACTTAACTGAGATGTTTATAATTCCAATACTAAACTATACTCTATAGTAAGGTGTATTTATATCTCCAGCATGGGTATGAAATGCCAAATCTGCTGAAATCGGAAACAAATCAGGTATGCGTCTCAACCCAAATAACCAGCCGTCACAATGTTGTTTATTCTTGATGACGTCCAGTATATCCTTTTTAGTTCCTAGGAGCTAATGTTCAACTTTAGCTCCTAGGAACTAAAATTCAACTTTAGCTCCTAGGAACTAAATATGTTGCCTAGCAACATGCCTATTTTTGTGTCAGTAATAGAAACGTCAATTTAAAAGCTAATTTTAGTATCAAAATGGACGACTTTTGTGTCGGTTGCTGAAAAAAGAAATTTCTTCTTGAGTGTGAGTCTCATTTAACTGTCTTCTTTATCTCATTTTGTCAAATATATTTATATATTGACCATGTTCCCTGCTATAGACAAATGTTTTTTCTTGGGAATAATAAAGTTGATTGATATTGGAAACTTCATCATTTTGTGCATGTTCACCAAATGTCATTTTTGATAACCAATTTCATTCAAATTTCTTGGAACATTGGAGAAAAATTGCTTACTTTGATAATGAAGGCACATCATAAGATATCTCGACCAGTCCTAAAGGAGCAGCAACTGCAGCAGACAGAAGTAGTCCGTGTTTATCGAACGTCTCACGGAATTCTTTGATAAGAGTTGCGAAATTTGCCTGAAACAATTGATTTCTAGAGTTATGTCAAATGTATCAACAGTTATATCTACACGCAGTCTGATCTAAAATTGGAATGACTCATTATATATTCACTTGTTCACTTCACACCTTATAATGAAAAATGACTGTAATGACAACTCATGCGCAAAAGGAAAGAGATAACGAAATGGAAGACCTATCGAAAACACATCAATTGTCCATTGTCAAAGAATGATATCAATAAAATGCATCTAATAAGCTGATGGTCCATTGTCATTTCATTCATGACTTTATAATATTGTGGAACCTATATCCTTCATTCATCGTTCAATCAGAACTGTTTCAGTGATCGTTGTAAAATGATTTATACTCATTGATTCTTCAAAAGTATTGTAATCATGATCAACATAAATCCATAGGAAATAAACTATTATACCAGCACAATGTAAGTGCAACATACCTATCATATGATTGAAACAATAATGGTCATGTACTTTTTCATCACCGAAAAATAGTACCATCGTCAGCTATGTCGTGTTCGCTGGATGCTTGAAAGAAAATAACTCTCGGCAGAATAAGGCATCTCTTGATTTTTATTAAATGACTCGATGGAGGTTTGAGCTAGATATATAAAGAGTTGGAAAGCGACTTCATCATGGGAATGCCAACAGATAGAAAAATACCAAAATATAGCTTTGAAAAACTTTCGAAATACGTATAACGAACAGAGAGGCATAGAAGGAAGGACCTCCTATCAATGCAGACAATGCTGTCTATACCGATGCAGAGATTATATAATCTCTGACCGATGGCTCTAAAGTCGAGAAAGGATCAGGAGCAGGTGGGGCCAAACCAAAGAGTCTCACTGAGCGTAGGCGAATACGCGACGATGTTTCAATCAGAAATTATTGGGATACTTCATTGCGTAAAAGATTTGATAATGCAAGAGTTTGAAGGAAAAACCATTGCAATCTATTCGGATAGCCAGGCGCCAATCAGAGCAGTTAACTAAAAGCTAGTATGGGACTGCTCAGTAACCCTGAATGAACTGGGCAGTCAAAACAGACTGACTCTAGCATTGGTATCAGCACATACAGGGTACGAGGAGAATGAAGAGGCAGACTTCCTCACCCGAGCAGGAGCAAACAAAGCTCTGAATGGCCCAGAACTCTTCATGGTATTGCGAAAGCTATTCAAAAGACTAGTATCAAATCATGGATGCGAACCAACTCTCAAAAATGGTGGAGCAACTCGCCAGGAATGAGACAGGCAAAAGAGTTTGTTAAAATACCATAGCCAACATTAACAGAATATCTACTGAGCCAGAAACGAAGTACAACTAGAATACTAGTGGGACTTCCCACAGGGCATTGTAGGCTCAACAAACACATGGGTACGATAGGTCTGACTGAAGAACTGCTGTGCAGGTTCTGTCAGGAAGAGGAGGAAACAGCAGTACACATACTTTGCTACTGTGAGGGCTTGTCAAGACTATAATGTTCCTCACACTGGGTGAGGAAAAACCAAGAGCCCAAAGTTACACAGGGGATCTGGAAGCTATCTTTTGGAGTCTCATAGAGAATGCGGGGCTAGCCAAAGAACTTCGAACGATTTTGAGGGCAGACACAATAGATCTGAAGAGGTCGCGGTGTGGAGACAGATATAGCCCGAAGGCCCCACTCTAAATCTAATCTAATCTAGGTACAGGGAATGCTCGAGTTCAAGTGATACATTCTCAAATTATTTTTTTTTCATAGTATTATAGTGTCGAGAGAAATAGTAGGCCCCATTTGAAGAAGTTGAGTTTCCGGCAAATTTTCAATGCGACATCTAAACATTGCACGCGCCCATATGGTACAAAATGGGATCCGATTAATCTAGTTGGAATATTCAAAGGATCACCACCACTTGTGTAATTATTACTGTTGATAGTTATTTACAAAATCTCGCTTTGATCTTCCCGCAAAATCTCATCGTCACACAAAATGACTCGTTTTCTAACGTGTTACGTTCAATATTTTTTCTAATGACTGTGGTGTTGTTTTTGACGTTTCATCAGTTTCACTTCGAATATTCAACAAAAGGTCATCATCATTATTTCATAAAAAATGTTTGTTGTTTCAAGCTCATTTTTGAAACCTATTCTCATGTGAGTGAAAATACTCTGTTTCTTTCTGTGTAACGCTATACAGCGCTAGTCATTCCAACCATGCTCAGTAGTTGTTTCAGGAAAAAAACTAGTAGTAGTCATAGTTAGAATCGAAAAGAAAAAAAAATTCAGTTTCTCATGAGTATATGTATATTCCATATTTTTATTTTGAAATTGTAAGAAACGTTTTATCTTACAGTGCCCTGAAGATGTCAAAAAACTGACGAAATGATGGCTTTTGAGAAATATAGATTTCTTTCATCTAAGACCTGAATCTCAAAAACAACACCAGTCATTTTACGAAAGGACGTTAAATAATTGGACTTTTCTCTAATTTAGACCAGTTTGAATCGCGGCACGTTTGAATATTCGCAAATGAGATATCATCTCCTTTCATTAATCAATCAATTCGTATCTCGATATCAAATAGCAGAATCAAGCCCAAATTATTGCACAAAAGGGTGCCAGTTCTCAATCATCTTGCTCAGGATAGTGATTGGCATAGGTGCCGTTCAATGAAATTAAATGTTTCCAAATGTTTGTGACATGTATCATTTCGTTATCAGATGACGGTCAAAACTCGCAGCCAACTATGTGCAAACTCCAAGAATGTTTTTATGTGCGAGTGGTATTCTGAAGGATTATTTCTCGAATCGAGCTAAACTCACCACGTCTGCGGCAGAACCACCACGCTGTGCTGGGTACTCCCAATCCAAATCGAACCCATCGAACCCGTAAGTCTGTACAATATCCAGAGCGCTCTGTATGAAGACAGCCCGGAGTTCGGCAGAGGCGGCAACGGTGGAATATTTCGTGGAACCCTCGCTCCATCCCCCGATTGCGAGGAGGGTTTTGAGTTTGGGGTTGACCGTTTTCAGGGCGGTGAATTTGTTGAGGTTACCTGAAGACAGATGGAAGGAATTCGTATGACTTTTTTCTTGTAAAGTGTGACCATCTGGTCATCACATAAAATTCATATTCAGGGTCACTAAAGAATCCAATTGTTGGAAATCTGCCACTCTTTCGTTAAATACTATTGTGAAACTTATTATCGAATGTTTATCAATCATATGGAGCCCATTCCACAACTGCTATATTGATAGACTAGAAAATATACAAAAAAATAAAAAATGTACTGAACTCCAGATTCAACAACAAGTACCATAATTCATATAAAAACATTTTGAAACTGCTATGAGTTCGCCATTGTTCAACAAATTTTCTCCTCGACCTCCATTAATAAGACTTATCAGAATGTTCAACAGTTTATGCAAATAAAACAATGACCTTGATGTTTTCAGCCTTTCATTTATCAGGTTCAAAAATGGAGTCAAACAAGTTCTGTACAATTAGTCGTACGGTTTTTCATCTTAAGCTGTACTTGTTGGACCACAATAAATTCCTAAATATCTCTAAGCATTTAAAGGCATCTAATTTTCTAACATTATCGACTTGCTCAACTGATTTGAGGTTATTATTATGTGTGTTATGATTGTGATCGAACATGTGTTTGGCTACACACGATCTATCTAACCTGCCATATTTCAAATGTGCTATGTGTTCTTTGAACCTTGTTTTTATGGGACGCATGGTTTGGCCTATATAAATTTTATCACAATCATCACAACTGATTTCATATTTTTCTGACTCCTCAAGTGTGTCCATCCTATATTTTGGATTACCTAATGAATGGAACTTTGATCCAAAGTGATAAACGCTTCCAAAACCTAAGTCTTTGAAAACCTCATCAACTCCTCTTGGGATTGGAAGGAATTGAGATTCTTCTCGAATTGTTTTTATCCGCTTGAAAAGTCGTAGAATTACTGAGTGATAACTTGAATTTATGTCTACGTATTAAGTGGATCACTGAAATATTTGACAATTTTCAAACTGCCATATCTCTTTAAAAAATTAATGAATTTTCAATCGGTATGCAGTGCTTGGAAGATGCGATCTTTCTGTCCAAGATTCCTCGTTCAAAACTCGTCGGGAGTTTTTTGTCATTATACCCCAGGTGTTCGAAAAAACTATTACAAAAATGAGAGAATCCAAACGTTTCCGTATTTCACTATTAATCATTTTTTTTAACGTTCAAGCAAATATCTCGAAACGGTTTTGTGATTTTCCATATTCCTCATACAGGATGTTGAAAATCGATAATTTTTCATTTTCAGGTTTTTATCGCAACATTTCCGATTTCAAAATTATGCAAGCCACATTCAAAGCATTTTGCCACTCTATGCAATGGAACACATCATAGATAATGGATTCATATTGCGTCAAAATCATCGACAACTCCAACAGAAAAAAAATTTTATTCGGAGAAATGTTCAGAATTTGATGAAATCGTCTGTTCAGTTTGGTGCTGCCATAACCATATGCTATGCTAAACACAAATCCTTCATTTGGATCAATTGCTCAGCTCAATATCTCGAATTAATTTCATGATTTTCCAGATAAGGCAATTTTTCTGACCAATTCATACAATAACGATGCTACAATGGTTTTAAGATATTCCTGAGCTGACTTGAAGTCAATAAACCTATTTATCATAAGATTTTTCATCGCGTAATCAAAAATCAATCGAAAAAGTCGATTTATTGTAATCAACACTCATCTACGCAATCAATACCACTGCAACACCCAATATAATGCTTTCTGTTGAACCTTTGACAACTGTCATCATCTTTATTAATTCTCATTCGTATCAAATACTGAAATTTGAACAGAATACCTATACCTACTAACTGTTGCATTAGAAATTTCGTATTGATATTTTCAAACAACTCAAAAATCTACCAAGGTTTTCATAGTTACAGTGACAACAACGATGTGATACTTTCCGGCATAGTCCGGGGAGTACGTACTTTCCGGACTAGGCCAAAAAAATGCTACTTCCACAAAAAAAGCGTCCGGGAAGTGAGCACTTCCTGAACGGTTGCCGAAAAAAGGTTCTAATTCATTTTTTCTACTCACATAACTAAAATGGCATTTAGCGTACAAATATGTACCACGCTAAATGATCGATTAATCACGGATTGTCGATCTGTGATTTATTAAAAATATTAAACACGTTACAATGGCAACACGATTTCTTAAACACATTACCATGGCAACACAGTTCATTAAACACAGCTTCAGTAATTTGAGACATATCTGGCCTGTTAATTTAATTAACTGTCAAATGCTATTTTCGAATTTTGTATCAGAATTATTCAAACAATATTCGTTTGTATCAGAATTCTTCATTAAAAATATATGCGAAAGGTAGACGAAAGTGAAATCGAAGAGAATGTTGTGGTACTTGCATTACTCCGAGAAGTGTAAAAATGAAGCATCCATCTTTGAGAAAAAATTATTTATTTTGCGCTAAGCATGACAATAAACTTGAAATAAAGGTTAGTAAGCAATTAATGGACTGGAAAAATCTGCAACCAATATAACTTATACGTGTCTCGCTGGTTGCATGCAGTTGCATGTATTATGTTCTCAATTCCCGGTTCTTTCGAATTATTTTGTAGGTTAGCGGGTATGTTAATGTAATTTTCGGAGTTCGTAGAAAAATCATAGTATGTAACGCGTTTATAAACTCTTCTAGACACTCGTTTATTAAACACTCGCTCCGCTCTGCTCCGCTCGTGCTCAAACTACTCGTTACTAAAAGGACGTTTATAACACTTGTTACATAATATACTATTCTCATAATGCGATCTTTCGACGGTTCCCGAACTCACACATTAATCTAGTGGACTCAACGTACCTGAATTGTAGTCCAACGATGGATCGAGAGATGTCACTTGTCCATTGGTGGTGATTCCAACGAAAGTGTAGATGATGTGCGTACACAAAGTAGGGTCGATATTGCTCAATAAGAATTGTCCATTTCCATAGCGGTATTTGGCCCACGTGCCATGGTAGCAAACGATTTTGTCTGAAAAAGTAATTTTCGTTACAAGTGCCTAAAGTGATACTTTCGCCTCGGCTTTTAACATTCATTCAAATGTTCGTGTCACATTTTGATTTCGACTCCAATAATTATTTTATCCTTCATCGTTCTGAGTGACCATATGACTACACATCTTTTCATACCTTTTATCGGGCAAGAAATCAAAATGGCCTAACAAAATCACTATACTATGAAAGCGTATTCTGTCTGTGTCATATGAAAATTACACTAGTTCTATGTTGATATTCATATCTGTTCCGATTTCAACAAAATATTCCAGTAAACAATGCATATTACATAATGTTCACAAATTGAAAAAATGAATAATAAATGTTTTCATACATTTTGAACGACATTATTTCCATTATTTGAATGGCAGCCTCTGAAACCATTTTTCGTGTCAGTGAGAAATAACCTAATTTCATATTTCTCACTATTCAGGCGACTTGACGTTGAATGATTGGTGATTCTACAGTATAAGGATTTGGATGCCTCTTGGAATGCCTTCTTCTGGATTAATTACCAAATCGGGATAAACTCCATATCAACCATTTGTTGAAAGCAACTTCATGTCCAGTACACACCTTCGCAGATGAAAGTACCCTCCATACCGTCTCCTCTTCCAGAGCTCCAATACCTTCAGGGCAAATCAGACACGAACGAGGGAGAAATGTTGACAACATAAATATGGACTTGGCAACATTTCTCGAATGGGGATCCAATAACTCGGTTGATTTCAATGCGCACAAAACACAAGCATGGCTTTTCTCAAGAAAAGCCGATCTCACTGTGCCCAACATAAGCAGCAATAACCTTTCTTGGGAAAATCAGGTGAGATCAATTGCCAAAAGTGCATCCCAAAATCCCAAAAACTTGGTTTTCTGTTTCGGGCCAGGATCTATTTCACTTCCAGTCAGCTGCTTATGGTCTGTAAAGCACAGATCCGACCTGTCCTGGAATACTGTTTCCACATTTGGAGTGTAGCACACAAACATACCCTGAAACTGTTGGATTCTGTCCAAAAAAAGGGCAATTTCGTCTCGTGGATGATGTCTCGCTCACAAACTCACTCACTTCTCTGGAACACCGTAGAAAAAATTGCGATGCTTGGTATTACTACTCTATTTTATAGATATATTCATCGACGATGCTCCTCTGAAATATCAACAATTTTTCCTCCCTTGGCAATCCCCACGAGAATAATCCGTCGAGTTGAGGCTTCGCACCCTTTCGTGATCACTCTGGAGACCTGCAGAACATCTCTTTCCGAAGACTCATTCATCCAACGAACAGCGAGGCTCTCGGACACTTTGCCAAGGGAGGTGTTCCTCGAGGCATATAACCTCCAGAAATTTAAAAAGAACACCAATTCCTACCTTATTCCTTTTGGTTCTCACTATGTTCTCTGAACATTACAGGATATCCTTTTTTGTGGGAACCAGAACATAAAAAAAAACCTAGCTTCCAAAATCGAAACAATTTAGGACAAATGTTTATATGAGTCGTATTTTCCTCATCATATCGGACTTGTATACTATGATCCATCTGAGACCTGAGGAAAAGGTGGTAGCCTATATTTCTTCTAATCATAGAATGAGCAAGTATAGGTTTTGCAACAAATTCATCTATACTATGAATCCCTCGAAAAATCTACCAACACAAAATGCAAAATAATGGACGAAGTAACCTTATGGCCACGCCCATTCAAAGTCAAAAGATTGTGTCACTGAAATTAATATAGAGGTGAACAGGAAACAATATATCATAACTGATTATGAGAGGAGCCAACATCAAAATTTCAATATAAACAATCGCACTAAACACTTCTGAACATCAATATACAGGGTGTATCTAAACAACACCGAAAACATTCATGGTGCGATTCATTGTGATATTCTAGCAAATATAAACATGTTTCCTAACTTTCTCCGTTTTTGAGATACAGGATGTTGAAGTTGGAAGCATCAATTATTTTTACTTATAGTCCCCTGTTTAAGCTTTCATGGTGCTAAAATTCAATATGGTTGGAGACTGAGGAAGCCCCAGAATTTCAAATTGATTCTAATTAGGGTTATTGAGTGATCTCAATGGAAGTCTTGAAAACACGCCTACATCAAAATTTGGAGTCAAATCGAATTTTTATTGTTTCCTCAAAAAATAAGCTAGATACAAATATTTTGCAAGGGATAAAAAAGTTGTTATTTCGATAGTTCAATCCAATCAAGATATGCAACTCAGGCAAACCGCTGGCGTACAATGACATTCACCATGAATATCGATAAATTCACCCACTGCGACGCCACTGGAAATATCAATTGGAATCTAATTGCACCAAACTGAGCTCCATATCAATATCAACAGAACCACATATTCATAAAAACTTTCCTAAGATATCACGAGGAATCACCTCTTGCATTTCTTGGGTGTTATTCAGATACACCCTGTATCCACATTTACGCAACTTAGCCTGAAAATTTCACGAACACAAATCATAAAAAGTTGCACTGCCAGCTGAAAATGACGCGAACTCTAATTGTTTGTTGGTTTCCTGTGATTCGAAGAACTACGGGGAATTAAGAATAGCCTCTTTTGAATTTAATGTAACCATATGGTGACATGCATGGTCCATAAAATAGCAGAAGGTTTCATCAGAAGCAGACCTATGAAGAGTCAAACAAGAAAGACTATTCAAATAGGCGTAAGTAGGTACTATTCTTCCTCAACTGATACGCCAAACCATCACAAGGAAAGTATGTATTCTGTCTCCAATGGTATGATGCATAATATAATATTTATTTAATTTACCTGTTGCAGCTGAAACGATTGGAAAGGTGATACTGGCTACTGCCAGAACTGCAATAAATTTATATAGCATGTTTTCAGAATGCATTCCTGTAAATAAAGAGAAAATAGATAATTGAATGAGTATATTCATTCATATAACGTAAAAAACATTAAAAATCCGTACGAAGCAGAAAAAAACCTTGATTGCTTCGGCCTGTACTGCAGGAAAATCCATATTTCAAATGTGAGATGATTATATTATGCATATTTTTAATGCTATTGTTTTGTTATCATCAATATTATTTCAGAATTTATATTCATAATAACACATAAACATATCATATATCATATTATATCTATCTATCTTATACCTATCATGTTAAATATTTAATTTCATGTTATATCATATCCCTGTATAAACTACAATGTTTCTTGGGATTTAAGTATGAATGAATAAAGATCTCAATAATACAATATGTTTTGATAACACAGTATATTGCTTCTTCAAGTGAAATACTCGTACAATGAACTAACCTAACAATGACCTGCTTTACTTAGGAACATATAGATAATCAAAATATTTGTGAGCAGGCTAATTTTGGAAAGTATGCACAATAACTACATCAAAATTCGGTGTCACATAGTTACTTGAGAGTACTGAATGCAAATGTGGCTCAATAATAAGGACACAAATTCAAAAGTGATAAATTGTTGAGTTCGCCTTCGGAATTTGTTTTTGTGTTTCCTGATTTCTAAAGAATCTCATTCTTTCATTTCCTACATGATCATTTACTCACGAAATTATTGCCGAAGAAATTTCGGATTTCGGATATACGTATACTAACTATATCGATCTGTGGATATTTTCTTGGAAGTAGAGCATAACTTGTAGAAATTGAAAAATTTTTCGGATAAATACCAGCCAATTATTATTCAAATTTAGTGCTTTATAAAAACTACTCACCTGGCTACAACGAACTGAATGAGGAAGTTGCTGTTCACCACATATATCAGCCAGCATTTATAGAAGAGATCTTATATTATCATTGATGCAATAAAAAACGTCATCCATCATGTTTTTTAGGAATTTAGAACGCAATCCAAGTCAAATCTCTGATAACGAATATTAAAAAACCATAAACTTGAATATATTTGTCGTAAAACTATCCTAATATTATGATCCAGCAATATAGGAAAATTTGTATCAATCTATATATCGATCGGAAACAAATAATCTTGAACATTTGGAACTACATCAATTCATCATATTCAACTGTCCATCTTATTTATAAATTGAACATTTAATAATTTTTTCAACTACGTCACAAATGAGTTATTCAGCAGATTTTCAATGTTGCAACTTGTATACCTATAACTCTATACATCTTTCTCCCCTGGGGTGAAAATTCTTCATGGACACAACGGAAGGGGGTGCGTAGCGGGAATCCCAATTCCAATGATGCCCAATTCCCACCATGCCCACCTTCATGTCGACGATCACGAAGATTGCCGAAAAGCGCAACGTTGCCAGGTTATGGAAAAAATTCAGACCAAAAAAGATTCTTATCACGCCCACTTTCCATAGATTTCCACGATGCCCAATTCTTACCAATTGTCCACCATGAGTGAGAATTGTATGGAAAGTAGGCATGGTGGAAATCCACGATAGGTGGGCATGGTGAGAATTGGGCATCGTAGGTATTGAGCATCGTGGGAATCTATGAAAAGTGGAAATGTTGGGATTCTTGTGTTTTATGAAATTTTCTCTTGACCTGGCAACGTTGCGCTTTTTGGCAATATTCGTAATCGTCTAGATAACTCATCAACTTTGCATCGAACATGAAAAAAATTTTGAACAGGGATTATTATTTTCTGAAGAAAATCATATTTTTGTTGATAATCAATGATTGGAAGTACGTAGTATAATAAAGCTACTTGAATATTAGTAGATTGTTTTATCAGGATCGAAAGTAACACTTCACTAGTGAAACAAAGTTACTTTTGATCCGACTGAAACATGCTATTTTTTCTGCAACCGGAAGAATTGACTTAAATAAATATGATTGTGAAGTAACAACCAATGTGACTTACTTGCGACAGATTATTATACTACTCTTATCATGATAATATGAGTAGGTAGATAGAAGCAAGAGCTCAAAATGATTTCCTTTGTTACAATATGTGTTGACATCGAGGTTGACATGCATCAGGTTATCAGATACTACTGGTTCGAGTCCAATACTCCAATACCTCCATTTTACCAGCATTTACAGGTCAGGTTTATTCATCAAAGGTGCTCCGCGGTTTAGAGTCAGTCTCCTCTAGACCCATTTTTTTCGTAATAGCTCAGAGGGTAGTGCTACTAGTGCTTTAGCTCTCGTTTGCTGAGACTCACTAGCTCACGAATTGTTGAAGAACTATTTCCTTCTCGGTTACCTGGAGTTGCTCAACAGTAGTAGGATATTTCACTTCATTCTCATTTTCTGAGCTATGTGATGAGGTGGCATTTGCTTGTCTTACAGAAAGGTATAAAATGACAGCTCTGCACTTTTTTGCTAGGCGATCAGCTGCCTCATTCCTTGGAACCCACATGAGCGAGAATTGATTCTAATACTTATTCATCACATAATAGGTAATTTTGATAGTTTCAATAGTTCATCAGTTTTTTATAAAAATGTTCAAAGAATACATAGCATTTGGAATTATTGTATTGCAATTATAACAACTATAATTCCAGCGTACAGAATTTCAATTTTTTTTTGTCTTTCACCTCACAGAATACAAAACCAAGACAATGACCTATTCATACTTTTTAAAGCTTTCATGAATATAGGTTCATATTATTATGATCCGAATCATATAAGTTGATAGATTGACTATGAGTGTGGCAAAGACGTCCCAAGTCCGAGCGCTCTAACAGCCGTTCATCTTTTTTCAAAATGACGAAATTTACATGAGCTCGATAGGAAATTCGATGCTCTTTCAATATGTGCATGATGCTTTGTCTCTGAGTAATACGTAAAATATGAATTATTTGCGAAAACCGACGAGAAACGCTATTTTTTGATAAGTACCCAAATTTGGTCAATTTTCAACTGGCTCTATCTCCGCACCCCTTAGTACTACATTCATGAGCAAGTACAATTTTATCTAGGAAATTTTATCTACTTCAACTATTTATGGGGCGGTCTTTTCGATATAATGTTTGATTTCCGAGTTACGGGCAAAAAACGAAAAAAGTGCGAAAATATCGCTGTTTTTTGTTAATATGTCGGAACGCTCCAGGAAATTTTGTTTGCAAAATTCAGATTCGAATTCTCCACCTCCAATAACATATGAAACCACAGAGAAACTGACTACTTGAATTCTTTCCCGGATTGGGTCCTAATCGTTACCATTTTACTGAGCTATCACTTATGATCCCAATAAAACAAATTACTATTGAAAGTTTCTCCTATATGATGCCGACTGTATAAATGTTCTCAGCATAATTTCAATGAATAATAATTATTGTACTTACATAACTACTTTATCAAATCTGTCACAAGTTGTGAGACCCTGAGTAGAGTGATAGGTGAAATAATGTTCATAACTCCTATGAAATTAATAAATACAAAAAGCTCAGTCATTTCCACACAATGTTTATAAAATGAACAACAATGGTAGATTTCGGGAGGAAAACAACAACTTCCCTAGCTAATGCCACGCAGGACATTGAATGAGAGAATTACATCATCCCGAAATCTATGCATCGACTCGTATAAATGAATACTGATACGAGTGATTCATTCCTGAATGCCTATTGATCTCGATTTAGCTAGGCCGCTAGACAACCACAGACCGGTTTCGAGCTCTTTGACTCTCATCAGTGCAGTGCAGTCTCCAGCCAGCAGTCCTGAGAACGCCGACTCAGCGAAGCCTAGCCAAACAAAGATCAAGTCGGCATTATATTCACCACGAGGCGTCTTTCATCGACAAAATGAAAGTAACGCCATCTGAGTAGAACAGAGGAAAGAATCACTCCAAAACTAAAATTACCATACGGGAGTGGCTGGTTGCCCGGTTGGCGTAATTTCAACTACGAAATAGCCACAATGCTCAAAGTTGGATGACATGGTAAAAAAATACAAAGAGCTCAAAGTCATTTCCACGCATTGTTCATGGAATGAACAACAATGGTAGATATTGGGAGAAAAGCAACTACTTCCTTGGCTAATGCCACGCAGTACTGAATTACATCCTCTCGAAATCTATGCATCGACTCGTATTAACGAATACTGATACAAGTGATTTTTGCCTGAATGCCTATTGATTTCGATTTATCCAGGCCGCTAGACAACCACAGACCGGTTTCGTTCTACTCAAAGGGCGTTACTTTCATTTTGTCGATGAAAGACGCCTCGGGGTGAATATAATGCCGACTTGATTTTTGTTAAGGCTAGGCTTCGCTGAGTCGGCGGCCTTAGAACTGCTGGCTGGAGACTACACTGCACTGATGAGAGTCAAAGAGCTCGAAACCGGTCTGTGGTTGTCTAGCGGCCTGGCTTAATAGAAATCAATTGGCATTCAGGAAAGAATCACTTGTATCAGTATTCGTTTATACGAGTCGATGCATAGATTTTGGCAGGATGTAATTCACTGTCCGGCGTGGCATTAGCCAGGGCAGTAGTTGTTTTTATCCCGAAATATACCATTTTTCATTTTATGAACATTGTGTGGAAATGACTTTGAGCTTTTTGTATTTATTCACCATGTCATTCCACTTTGAGCATTGTGGCTATTTCGTATTTTTTCTCAAGAAATTGATATAGATTTTCCAGTGTCCGTGCTGGTTATGTGAATACCTATAGGTATCATCCGAGCGATGACATAATAGAAGATCGTATATAACATACCTAAGTATACATTTTTATCGTAGTAGGAACAGTAATAATTAAAAGCCATCATAAATAGCGAATCAGTTTAAATCGTCACAAAATGCAAACAGAAGAAAAATATCATCTACCGAATGAAATTTGAATACAACCTGTATGTCAACATTCAGTATATCATAATTTTTAATTAGCATATTATTCGATGGAAAAATACACCAAGTAGAATTCGGTC